CGGTGGGCACTTGGTGGGGCTGCCATGAGGGTCGTGTGGGCTGCCGGGGGGGGGGCACAGGCGAGCAGCCCCCTACTTTTGATGCCGGGAAGAGTGAGGGGGGAGGGGGAGCAAGGACCTGTCCACAGAGCCCACCGCGGTGGGGGGGCATCGGGGAGGATGGGGCCCTCCCGATGTCCCTGGTTTGTGTGGGGGGGCGTGCAGTCTACCCCACGTGGGGCTGTGCTCACTCAGCAGGGCAGGGGGGCTGTGTCCCGCAGGAGTCCAATGGCCCCACGGACGCCTACGCTGCCATTGCCAAGGCTGACCGGCTGACCCAGGAGCCCGAGAGCCTCCGCAAGTGGAGGGAGGAGCAAAAGCAGCGGCTGCAGGAGCTGGGTGAGCAAGGGGAAGGGGTATGCGCAGGGTGTGGGAGCCAGCATGGGGCCCAGCCTGCGGTCCCCACCCTCCTCCTGGGGCAGAGCCAGCTGCGCCGTGGTGACCGTCTTCTGCCCCGGCCACAGATGCTGCCTCCAAGGTGCTGGAGCAGGAGTGGCGCGAGAGGGCCAAGAAGGACCTGGAGGAGTGGAACCTGCGGCAGATTGAGCAGATGGAGAAGAACCGGGTTAACAACAGGTGTGGCCGGGGCCGGGGGGGAGGTGGGGACCCCCAGGAGCGCTCCAAGCTGCAGCTGCTGGCAGCAGTGGCACAGGGTCCTCTGGCCTTTCCTGGAGCAGGGAGGAGCCGTGTCTAGAAATAGGGGCTGACCCCGCATCCCTCCCCATGGAAGACCTCGTCCTGGGGCCCCAGTCCTGCGTCAGCTCGACCCCACTGCCTGCCATGCAGGGGCTGGGCGTAGCTGGTGTCTCTGCCTGGTGCAGCGGGACATGCACCCTGCCAGCGGTGCCCGGGCACTAACACCTGCCCTCTCTGTCTGTCTAACCCGCCTGCCTGTTGCTCTGCTGCTTCTCTCTGTCTGCTGCTCCTGGGCTAGGATTGCTGACAAAGCCTTTTACCAGCAGCCGGACGCCGATGTGATTGGCTACGTGTACGTGCTCCTCTCTCTCTCTCTCTCTTTCTCTCTCTGTCCTTCTGGCTGGGGATTTCCCCCTGCCCAATGTGGGGATCTGCAGGGCTGTTGGGGGTGCCCATCCAGCACCTCCCACAATAAAGTCCCCAGAAATGAGTGGAGCTGCAAGGTGTGGAGGAAGGGGGCAAAGTGGCAGCTGCATGGGTGCTGCATTAAGAGCCCGCTCCCCTGGGGGGTCTCTGGGGTGGCAGAGGAGCCCTGGGCTTGTGCATCTGCTAGGAGCCTGCCCTTAACCAGATGGCAGAGCCCCTTGCCCCCTGCACAGGTGCATTTCCCTGTCCCCGAGGGATGGGGAATGGGGGGCATCGGGAAACGGCATTGTGGGGAGTGGGCAGGCAGTGGCTGACCCCCTATCCCTGCAGGGCCTCGGAGGAAGCCTTCCTGAAGGAGTCAAGGGAGGAGGACCCAGGCACGGAGTGGGAGAAGGTGGCGCAGCTCTGTGACTTCAACCCGAAGAGCAGCAAGCAGAACAAGGACGTCTCCCGCATGCGCTCCGTGCTCATCTCCCTCAAACAGACGCCCCTGGCGCGCTAGCCCAGCTGGAGCGCCACCGGGGCTGGGGCATGGCCCTCCACCAGCTTGCCTGGATGCGCGCAGCATGTGGGGCCCGTGGTGGCCAGCAGGGGTACTGCCCCTGCCGCGAGCACCTCCTGCGGGCGGGTGGCTGTTGCTGTCCCCCTGGTTTTCCTTTGCTTAAAGGGTGCGTTGGTCTTTTTACACTTATTTATTACCGTGGTGGTTCCCTTGGTGGCGGATGGGGTGGCTGGGCTGGGGCTCCTCCCTGCCAGGCCCCTGTTGCAGGTACCTCCTCCCCAGCCAGTGCCTGGGCCCAGGCTGGCTGTGATGTCAGAGGTAGGAGCGTGACATCACCGTCTGCTTCTGGCTCAGCTCATGAGGAATTGGGATGTGCAGGGCTGGGGCAGGAGCTCGGTGGGCAGGAGGGCCTGGTGCTGTGTGGGGCTGGAGATGCTGAGCAGAGCAAGGGAGGAGCCTCCCCCAGGGAGCTTGTCCTCTGGGTCCCACTAGGACCTTCCTACCCTCTGGATCCAGGCTGAATGGAGCTGCCTCAGTGACTTGCTGTGAGGGGATCCTGAGCTTGGGTGGCTGACTCTCCTCCTCCCAGCAAGGCTTTGGCCCCCTTGCTGGTAGCAGGGGGAGGTGCTGGCTCTGTGCTGGGTAGGTCTGACCCAGCCCCTTCTGGCTCAGCCCCCAGCCCTGGGATCCCAGCCTGTGCTGAGGCCTGGTCTAGGAGCCTGAGATCTGCTACCTGTTGGACTGCAGACACCATATCACCTCTTGGGCACGTGCTCAGCCACCTGTCTGTAAGGGCCTGGTGGGTGGGGAGGGCTGGTACAGCTGGCAGGGAACTCAGGGCAAAGTCCACAGCACATGGGCTGAGCCTTGCCTTTAGGAGACCCTTTCCAGCCCCACCCAGGCTGGCTCTGTAGGGTGTTGGCTCTGGGGTGCAGGAGGCTGCTGGCTGGGTGTGGAGCTGCCCAGTAGGCAGGACTGTGCTGCTTTGCATAGCCAGGGCTGAGCTGGTGCGGGGAGGAGGGGATGGCAGCCCATAAACCCAAGCAGCTCTGCCTGCCCCTTTGCTGCTCCAGGGGCCAGAGAGTGTGGGGCCTACCTCACTCTCGCAGCCCCTGGCAGAGCCCCCTTCACTCTGCCCTAGGAAGCCTGTTCTGGGAAGCCCCAGCGTGGCTGTTGCTTGGGCCCCGCAGAGAGCAGGAGCCCCCAGGCTTCCCCAGCCAGCCCTGACTGCTGCTGTCACCTGGGAGAGAAGGGCCTGTCCTGGGACACATGGCTCTGGGGAGGGCTGCGCCTGTGGCTGTTCTGTGTGTTCCCAGCTTTGGTATCTGTGACCTTGTCTAAGCCACTTGTTACAAATAAACTGACAACTCCAAACCTGGGAGGTGTTGCCCTTTCCTTCCTCATTTGGGCTGGAGGGGCAACTCGGAAGCAGCTGCCGTGCCAGGAGCCTACAGGCTTGCTGGCAGGGGAAGGGTGGGAGTGGGGTGGGGGGGCTGGTTCAGAGCAGCTGATCCGCTCCAGGGCCTCTCATGGGGGTTGGGGCACACTGTCCACCTGGCTGGGCTGGACAGGAGCAGTGGCCCCTTGCCTGGAAGGGTGTCTATGGTGCAGCCTGTCCCTGGGAGTGGGGGAGTGACAGAGCTAAAACATGAGTGCCTTCCTAGAAGCATTTATTATATGTTGCTTCTTCCTGGCTCAACCTGGACGCTCCCACCCCTGGGGCCCAGCCGCCCTTCCCCAGACCCAAAGGACACTGGTTCTGTGCAGCACCAAGACTCCGGGGGAAACTTTCCTCTGACCCGCAGATTTCAGGGCTATGTAGAGGCGCTGCCCCAGGCAGGACTGGGCCCACCTGGCTGGCAGCATCACTACCCTTTGCTTTGTGCCTTTGCCCACCAGCACATGGCACTCTGCCGCGCATGCATATTCTCCTCCCAGCGGGTCTGGGAGAAGAAGAGGAGATTAATTGTAGCTCCTGGAGCTCTGACAGTGCTGGCTAGAGAAGGGTTCTCAGTAAGAGACTCCTACCCTTTTCTGGGGCTCTGACTCAATAGCAAGCCTGGTCTAATGCATCTGCGTAGACTTTATTGCCTGGGGCATCTGCAGATGCAGGCAGGGCTGTTCCCTCTGGGATTTGAATGCGCAGAAGTGTGGTCTAGTTCTTGAACCATGGGGAGAAGTTTTATGCAGTGAAAATCCTGCTAGAAACTGGCAGAACAACCCTTAGCAACTCTACAGCAAGTGCGTTCCAACTCAGGAGATGTCCCATCCTCACTAAAGGGGAACCGCATTGGCCACGTCCCATCTGTACTGCTAGACCAGGGTGGAAGCAGGCCCCTGTTCTCTCATCATCCGTCCTATTTAAGGCCCTTTTGCAGTTTCCCTCCTGCTTTGCAGCACTGGGACCAGATGCTCACTGCCACCTGCACTGCACTAACCCCAAGCGGGAACTGGGGGCACCTAACAGATCAGACAGCCCACCACAGGATGCAATTGCTCGCTGG